CCGCAGTAAATATTGGCATTAGCATTTGTATTAGTATCAGTATTAGTATGAGTATTAGTACTAGTAGTAGAAGTAGTAGTAGTAGTAGTAGTAGTAGGAGGAGGAGTAGTAGTAGTAGTAGTAGGAGCAGCAGCAGTAGCAGTAGTAGTAGTAGTAGTAGTAGCAGCAGCAGCAGCAGTAGCAGTAGAAGTAGCAGTTGCAGTTGCAGTTGCAGTAGTAGTAGTCATAGTAGTAGGTGTAGGAGTAAGAGTAAGAGTAGGAGTAGGAGTAGGAGTAGGAGTAGGAGTCGTCGTAGTAGCAGCAGTAGTAGCAGTAGTAGTATTTGTCGTCGTCGTCGTCGTCGTTGTCGTCGTCGTAGCCGCAACGTCAGTAGTACTACTACCACCAGCACCAGTGACAGCAATAGCAGCAGCAGTAGCATTGGCACATGTGGTGATGTTACTGGTAGCAGCAGCCGCAGGAGCAATTGTAGGCGTAGTGGTACACAGAGTAGCGGTACTGGCACTAAGAGAAGGAGTGGGAACCGAGTAGTTGGAGTAACACCAGACCCAAAGTCCGGGATTTTCGAAGCTTCATAGATTTGACGGGAGCCTGCCGAGGACGTGAACTCACTGAGCAGCCCGAGCTTCCATTCCGTGAGCACCCACATGCCTGGATATGCCCCGACGAGCCGAGATGATTCCCCAGACGAGGAGGAGGTCTTGGGGGCTTCGGAGGAGTTTGATGCCCTCTATCCAGTGACCGCTCCTCTCGCTACCGGGCCCGAATACGACCAGTGGTTTGCACAGCTGCCTTCCATAGGCTCGGCAAACCACTTTAACGGCACCTGCGATCGCTGCTGCTTCCATCCCAAGGGGCGCTGCATGAACGGCTACAACTGTCAGCACTGCCACTTCGACCACGAGAAGCGCAAGCGCAAGGGCAAGAAGCGCACGGAAAGGGCGGAGCCCGGCTCGGAGATGGGCTCCATTCCTCCAACCCCCCAGGGCCCCCACGAGACTTTCTATGCCCCAGCCCTTCCGGTGCCTTCAGGCTTCCATGACCCAGGCATGGAGATACCGTTGCCTGTGCCAGCTTACAGTTCCTGGTATCCCGAGGAGGCACCAGTCCCAGAGGCCCTCTACCCTGGCATAAGTCCAGACCCTAGGTGCATACATCCTCGGGATGAGTATGTCTTCAAGCTCGAGGAAGAGAATCGCTTCCTCCGTGCCATGATCGAACATCACCTCGGGCCTACGACTGCGGCCTCCCTGCCCCCATCCATAGTGGCTCCCAAAGCCGAAGTGGCCCCCGTGGAGTGTCCGCCCGGGCTAGGGCTCGAGGTTCTCCCCGAGCCGCAGCTTGCCGCTCCAACCTCCTTGTCGCTGGGACTTTTATCAGAAGATTCTCTCTAGGCTTGCTCGACCAAAGTCCGGTCGGGTCTGCTCCCTGAAGCCTCTAAAGTTCGCTAGGAGACACGTTTAGATGCGCGAAAGGATGCACTGGGTATAGAGTCCTCTTCCTGTCGACCTGTGAAAGCTCATCGGGGCCCAAGAGCATCTCCGAAACATCACGTAGTTTGCCCGTGCCTGCGTTGCGGACCGAGGCATCAAATCCGCCCGAAGCCCTAAACCCCACACTGTGCCACGTCGCGGGGACTCGTTCGCAAAGTCCTAAGCCATGCTGGCAGTCCTTTCATTGTCAAAAGCTCCACAAGTGTAGACTCCACAGATTACGGAACGCCCGGTGTGCGTGCCGAAACCCAAGGTCAGTGTCCGACCAAAACCCCAAAACCGCCAAAAGCCCAGTGCCTTCCTGCGATAGGTCCGCCGGAGCTGCGCCCTTCTGCCCCGGCGTGGGCCTCACCTCCTGGTCCGAGCCCAACGCCCCGGTGCCCGCAGGCTCTGCCTCTTCTTCTGCTCCTTGTGATTATCCTGAGGCTAGCCTTTGTAGCGGCTCGTGGATTTTTTCTGGGCATCAGTTGGACTCTAGAGCTTCAGAAGTTAGCCTGAATTAAGGCTCCAATCTGCTCAATACTTCGAGGCTTGGGTTTACGCGGGGTCTCTTTCAGAGGTCTAGGGCTTTTGGGGTTTCGCCTGGAAAGGGACGTGGAGGCATCTTAGTCAGGGAGGTAGACTTTGTTTTGAAGCGCAGCAGTTGCATCATCTCAGCTTGGGAGGCTCCGTAGTCCTTGCTAAGCAGGAGGGGCAAGAATCCCTAAACCCTAAACCCCGCCTAAGCAATGTGAATGTTTAGAAGTCCCGGCCTGGATTCAGCCACATCGAAGGTTTCACGACTTGGGGCGTGTGGCTCGTCATACTTTGGTAGGTAAGTTTGACGCCTTTCCTGTCTTGAAAGCTCTCAGATCTCGGTACGGTGTGACGGTCGTGAGCTAATTCGGTCACCTCGGTCTGTGTTACCGGACCATGCCTGTAGTTGCACAATCTTTTGGCCGTCTCTTACACAGCAGCTTCCGAATCTCATCCGCCGAACGCGCAGAGCACCCGACCAGTCTGATGAACTAACTCCTGAAAATGACCTACACTGCAGGCAGCGTGGCTCCCAGTGCGCTGCATCCCACGGGCATGGTTCCGAATGTTAGATGGCCCGGTCCCGCATGAGGCCTGGTGATTCGTGATTCCCTGTCATTGGGTTTCGGCAAAGTTTGCGGGAGGTTGATGAGGGTTTGCACGGCGCAGGTTAGCCTGACTTAAGCTCAACATCCGGATCCTTCTGGCTTGTGGAGGAAGGGACAAGCCTCAACAGAGCCTTGTGTGTGTGTGTGCGTGTGTGTGGGGATCACGGCGCTTCTGACTCCGGACATTATCATTGTGGGTTTAGTTGGTCTTGATGATTACAACTCCTTCACAAGACTCTTTGCCATTTTCACTGCTAGTAGCATTGCACTGATAGCGGCTAGCTTGTTTCTCTTGCTGGCGTGCCAGTGCCAGGCGACCCAGAGTTGAGCTTGTCGGACCGTGTAGTTCAGGGTTTGGGCAGTTTAGGGCTGAAGTCCGCAACCCAAAGCCCTCAGGGTTGGAAAAGCTCTAAAGTATAGATATAAGTATATAGTTTCGAACATAAATATACAGGCAAATTAAATAGATACATGTAAAGTATAACCAGCTCTAAAAATCAACCATATATCTTTATGCTTTTCCTCTGAACCACAAGCCATAGCAGGGAGTCGAAGCCTCGGCTGGAGGTGGGATGACTTGGAGCAGGCACGCGATCAAAAGTCTGAGGCCCAGGCGAAACGCGGGACTCTAAAGTCTAAGCCGTAAAGTCGTCGTCGTCGTCGTAGTA